GAGCCCGAAGACACAACCGCAGCGTTCCCTTCTGGCCTAACGGGCCCTGCTTCTCTTGAAGAGACCGGCTGGCTGCCACGGGTGCCCGTGAGGGCGTCACTCGGGCACTGGGATGCAAGGGCGCCTTGTTCGCCAAAGGAGACAGGGATGCAAGGGTGTAAGGGAACCCTTCGTCAGAACCGTGAGGAACGCATCCGTTCCCTTCTGGCCAAGCGAGCCCTGCTTCTCCCTGTGAATCCAACGTCGCACCCGCTTCGTTCCCTTCTGGCCTAACGGGCCCTGCCCCAGCTTCTCCTTGGGAACCCGTAGACACGACCGCAGCGTTCCCTTCTGGCCGAACGGGCCCATACTTATTCCGCCGGCGGCGAGGCAGAGGCGGTCCGCTCCAGCGTGTGGCAATTCGGGACAAGCGAAGGGCTAAATGGTCGGCATGCAAGACAGGGACAAGGACGACGGCGGCGCGCGAAATGGTCGACACGCACACACACACACACACACACACACCCATACACACACGCACACACGCACATGTTTCGTCGGCGGCGAAGCAGAATGGCTGCACCAGCGATAGCGATAAACGGGGGCGCCGAAAAGCGAATTGGCCAATGTGCAGGAGAGGGGGAAGAACAGGCCACTCAAAGGCGGAAGACTCCCTACCTGATCGTGCTGGCGCGGCCGGCCCCGTCAGCTGGAACTGCGGCAACAGCCAGGCCTCAGCGCCGGGGCACTCGCGGGCGATGACGGGGCCCAGTACGTGAAGGCAAATATCGCAGTGACGCCGTCGGTGAGGTAAGACTAGGTATTGGCACGTCAGGAAAAACTCCGTGAGACCGCCAATGTGGGTGGCTGGGTTGACAGGGTACGGCACGTCCACGAGCAATCTAAGTTTCAGACCGCCACCAGCAAAATGCTGGGCCCGTGAAGTGGGTGCAGGCGGCAAGACCAGGCCCAGGAGCACTGCCACACGGGGGGAGCTGCCAGCCGCGGCAGCAGCGCGAGCGCCATGGCGGCGCGCGGATGGAGGGGGGGACAAGGCAAAGGGGACGGGGAGGAGGGGGCAGATACTGATGATCCTCAGAACGTGTGCTATATAGCGCCAACGTGCGTTTGCCCACTGAGGCCCTTCACTAAAGGCGGTGTGATGATCGATTGGTTGGGTTAAACGGGAGAAACACACATTGGGCTAACACGCGTCCTGAAGATCATCGAAGAAAGGAGGAGCGCTCCGTTTGTAGGGAGGTCACCGTAGGCGGGGCGGCAGCCCGGGCGCCTGGCGCCAGCAGGAGCTGGAGGCGGGCGGCCCGTGCACTGTACTGCGGTGGTCACATACGATCGTGCCCGCGGCCTCATGTGGTCAGGGCGGCGTTGCGGGCGCCCTAAGTGCGACTGGCCAGCAGAGGGCGGCCGAGCGGGCGCACTGCCTGCAACAAAATTGCGGCGTAAGCCGTGGGGCCACGCGCTCTCCCGGGTGGACAGCATGTGACGGGTCTAGGGGCACCGAACCGGTGCGGACCCATGCCAGAGAAAGGCGGCCGAAGCCGTAGAGAGCTACGCGCTGCTGGGGTGGACAGTACGCGGCCGATCAAGGGGCACCTAACCGGTGCCAGATCCTGTGCGAAAGGTCTCAGCTGAAAAGGCATGCTCCACGCGCCGTCGGGGTGGACGGCACGTACTGTCTAGGGGCGCCAGGCTGATGCGGTGGGCGGTGGAGCGGGCTGCAGCTAACACGACTGGGTGCCCCGCATTGTCTGGGTGGACGGTGCGCTGCGGGTCATCGTGCGCAAATACGTGGCAGCTGAGATGCGCAGGGGCCACGAGGAATGCGGCCGCAGGTCACGTACTGGCCTGGGGAGGGAGGTCTGAGCTGAGCAGGGGCGGCGGTCAGGTTGGGTCCCCGGCAGGTGAACCTGGTGTTCTAGGGGGGAGCAGCTCGGGGAGACTGGTGGTGGGCGAGCAGTGTTGGCTGTCCTGGGGCGGCCGCGGCGCCAGGACTTAAAGGCTGGGCAGGCCTGTCGGGTCGGGACGGCGTGGCCTCGACTGCTCGTTGTTGGGCCAGGTGGGGTCGGCGTGTCTCTTGCCTTTCTCGGCCGGGTCGTGGCCCTTTCCTTTGCCCCGGCCTTTGTCTCGCTGCCGTTCGTTGCGCTGCAGCTGGCGTTCCCCCCCCCGTCCATCTGGACTTCCCGCATTCAGCAGACCCCTGCGGATGTCGAAGTATTCACGGTACAGGTCGTTCGCGAGCTCATCGCAGAAGGCGTCGTGCCCCTCGGAGTTGTAGGCCCCTCTTCCTTGTGCTGCCCTGTTGTCCCTGGCGTCGCAGAGGGCGCTCCATCCTTCGACGAAGAACGCGCGGCAGTCCCGCTTTGGCCTGTTGACGACTTCAGGCCAGGCTTCGCTGGTGTTGGTGGTGTGACTCCAAGCCTGGTACCAGGTGATAATCCGCCGAGGCCGAGTGTGCAGCGTGTCGCCGGGGTTTTTGTGGCGGGCACCGCCAGGATCGGCCCGCGGAGCCCTGTGCCATTCGTGCGCCCCCGGGCCGGCGCGAGCTGGGCCGGCGGTTGAGGAGGGGGCTCCTCCCCCGTGGCAGTTGGCCCAGGGGTTGGCATGCTCAGTCCAGGTGTTGGGGCTGGCGACTGCACCCTCGCCAGGCAGTCCTGGGGGACTTACGTGCCCGTCCGTCCCCAGGTTCGGCTGCTGCGGCCCGTTCTGTCACTGTGCTGCCGGTGCAGCGGTCGCTGGGGTTGGGTCCACCTGTGTCCGCCTCAACTGCGGCGCTGTCCTCCGCGGCCTGCTCGTGCTGTGGAAGCTGGGTTGTCGCCTGTTCAGCGTGCTCTGAGCCCGTGCTGCTGGCCGCTGCCGGGAAATGGTCGCCCGCGTGGGGCTCCTTGTCGAGGTTTGCCTGGGGGTCTTGACCTGCGGCGTCGGCGTCAAGTAAAAAGTCAACTTCCAAGTCGCCGCTTCCGACAAGGGCCTCCTGCCTTGGCAGCGACGGCGCGGCCGTGCGAGCCTCCTGGGTAGGGCGGGGCACGGGGGCGGGGCTCTGGCCGTGGTGGCGGTGCCCTTGGGGACATCTGGCTGGGGCGGGGCTTTGGCCGTGGCGGCGGTGCCCTGCATTGTCGCGCCGTGCCTGGGCCGGGTTCGGGAGCTCGGCCCGAGGGCCTGGCGCACTTCTCTTGTTGTGGGTTGCCGTCGCGGTGAAACTCGGGTCTACCCCGGGCGTGCAATAGACCAGCTCGGGGGCTGGCAGGCTGTGTGCCCCGTGTAAGGCAAGGAATCTCGCGAGGTGCTGCTGATTGTACCTTTTGGGGTCCTTGCCTAGGCTCGTGTGTGAGTGGGGATGGTCGGCCTGCAGCTAGGCAGGAGGGCCCTTGCTCGGCCAGGTCATCCTTCCGGTTGGGAGCGCGCCTGTTCTGCCTGATGAAGTAGGCGACCAGGTGCACCAGGGCGGCACACGCACGCACGCACGCACGCACGCACACGCACGCACACGCACGCACGCACGCACGCACGCACGCACGCACGCACGCACGCACGCACGCACACACACACACACACACACACACACACACACACACACACACACACACGCACGCACACACACACGCACGCACACACACGCACACACACACACACACACACACACACACACACACGCACACACACTCGCACACACACGCACGCACATGGCTAGATCCACGTGCGGAGCACGCGGAGGTCGCGCGCTGGATTCGCGGGCGGGAGGGGGCTGCGTGCGCGGCCACGCGAGGGCCCAGCGCTGGAGAGGCACGCGGCCGCGCGTGCATCCGTGCCTCGCCCAGGCCAGCCACGCCGTGTGCATTCGCCTTGCAGGTCTGCCTGAGCTCCGCGAGAACACAGTCGGCCCGTATCGTGAGGATGCGCGGTAAGGATGCGAGGGCCTTGGGCGCCCATCTCGAAGCGTTTCGAGCGGGGCGGGGCAAACGAAAGTGGCGAAGGGTGGACCGAGGAGGCAAGAACGCAAGGGTGCCCTTGGGAAAGTTGTCCATCCTTACTCTGCGGCATGACCGTAGGAGGCATGGGGGGAGGGCGAGGAGAACTCACTACGTTGACTGCCACCTCGCGCAATTCCGCAGACGTAGCCCTGAAGCAGCACACGTAGCATGCCATTGTATTGCAGTGCGCCCTCAAGCTTGCCACAGCCATCGACATGCGCGTTTGCACAAATGCTTGCAAAATCAATTCAGTGCTGGCCTCTGAATGCCGGTGGCACTGATGCAGTGCGGAGCGCCCTTAAGTCTGCCAAGGGCATCGCCATGTGCGATGCACAAACAGCAAAAACACATACACATGCGTGCAACATTGATGCCAGTGCTGGCCTCTGAGTGCCCGTGGCACTGATGCAGAACTGTACAAAGAAGCCGAGTGGATCACAGCGACTGGATATATCACGTCGCAAATAACGTCGCAACGCAATTCTGCGTATAAACCGCCATTTCCATAGGGCAGATGGGTAACAGTTCCTGCGCCCAAAGCGGCGTGCAACTTTCCTTCGAGGGATGGGAAGAGGATGGTTTTCCAAGGGAGGATGCGGGCGGAAGCGGAAGCGGAAACTGAAAGCTGCGTGCCCTCCGCAAAACTGTCGCAGTTCAGGGATACAGGCGCAGACGCCGACAACCGCGTGCGGGTGGCACTGCCGACAACCGCGTGCGGGTGCGTGTCCTCCGCAAGGCTGTCGCAGTTCAGGAACACAAGGCGCAGACGCCGACAACCGCGTGCGGGTGGCACTGCCGACAACCGCGTGCGAGTGGCACTACGCCCTGCTTCAAACCTGAACGTGTGTAGTGAAGCATATGGTAGAAACTCAGGCAAGGAACAACAGACGAATATCAGGTTGGAGGCAGGAAGGCAGGGCATGAATAAACAGAGGCCTGCGACAAGCTGCTGCTGCTGCTGCTATCAAGCTGCGGCGCAGCCCGAAAACCTATTTCCCGCGAGCCCCCGTGTCCTCTGGCGGCAATCCTCCGTCACGTCTCGCGACGGAGCCTGGCCATGAGCGGCGAACGTATCCATATCCGCGCCCTCGCGGTCGGGATTCCGGGGAGCGATCCCACGGATACGCGGCGGCACGGATACGTTCCGCGGGGCACCCGCGAAAAGACGCCCCGCATCCGCGGGGCAGCGGCCCACGAGGCCGTGGATACGGACACGCGTTTCGCCCATGGCCTGAGATCCTCGACTCGATGACCGCCGTCATCTTCAACTCTGCGCCCCGCCGTTCGACTGGCGCGCCGAACACGGCCAGGGTGCGAGGCTGCATCTCGCCGCCGGCGCACTGGAGGAAGTCCGCGGCGAGGGCCATCACCCGGAACTCCTCCTCCACCCCGCGCAGGAACGCGTCCTGCCTCGTGGCCGTCCACTCGGCCATGTGCTCCGGCAGCCTCACCAGCGTGAGGTCGTCGTGCTGGCAGGCGTCCCCGAGGGGCAGGCGGTCCAGGAGCTGCGCTCTCAGCAGGTGCACGTACTTCGCAGCGCGCCTCCGCTCCTGCCCGGGCGGACAGCAAAGAGGGAACCAGCAGAGCAGGGGCCCACGAATCAGCTGAATGCAGCCGGTTTTTCGTTGTCTGGCGGCTCCCGGCGCCAGAGGCGACCATGTATCGCGGGAAGCGCCCGACGACGGAACTGAAACCAGCAGCGTGCGGCAACCCTCGCAGTACGGTGCCTGTAAGGAGCATTGCTTCACAGATCCCTGAGCCCCGCTGGCGTGGCCGGGGCCCCGCTGGCCGATCCACCCACCAGATGTGACCCACTGGACGTGGATGTGGGCTGCTCCCTTCGGGTCTCGAGGGGCCCGCCCCCCCACGGGGGTGGTGGCACTGTGTGGCCGAGGTGCCGCTGCCCGGTGGAGACCACCACTCCCGCCCGGTCCGATCCTCGCGGGTGCCTGCGATGACCAGCGTGTTGCCCCGCAGGTCCAGCGTCGCCCCGCTGGCCCTGGCGATCCGCCTCCTGTCCCTGCCGCCGCCGCCCAGCAGCAGCGACGCGACGTCGTGCGGCACCTCCACGCGCTCCTCGTGCGGACCGGGGTCGAGCCCCGTCAGGCCGCGGCTCGCCACGCCGCCCCCGCTCTTCGCGGTCTTCGGGCCCCAGTCGGCGGCGGCGACGCCCCTCGCGTCCTCCACCAATCCCGCGCCGGCCTGCTCGAAAGACGCAATGATCCTGTGGTGGGCACTCGGAGGCGAACAAAAAGAGGGGGTATGACGCGCGTGGGCATGGCGGCCTTGCGCGGTGACGCGGCACACCTCGCGGGGAGGAGGGAGCTTACGCGCCACCTTACGCAGCCCAACTTCACGAATGTCCGCGCCACTGGCCCCATTTTTCCCAAGTCGCTCACTGGAGTCCAGGCATGGAATCCCGAACGTCCAGAGTCAGTATTCGGGCCCTCGTTTTCCGTGGCAGGACCCTTCTCCACCTCCCTCATCCCTGCCTTCCTGGATCAATATCTGCCTCTACCTCCTGGCCACCTCTATCGTCGATCTTCCTCGCCACCTAAATATATACATATATATATATATATATGGTTTCTGAGGCGGCGGCGATGCTCGAATCCGCATCCCCACAGGTAAGGCTTCTGATCTGGCGGAGCAAGGCTGTCTGGGACCAAGCCGTCGTGTCCCTGTCCGCTCTGGCGAAGAAATTGATGATGAAGAGGAAAGACGAGGGAGGGACGACATCGCAAGACGCCAATTCCCTTGATCTTACGAGCAGGAACACCAGCCTCTGGAGTAACTGCCCATCTCTGACCCGATCTTCCTTATCAATATGCGGAATGCTACCCGACTGACAGCACCCCATGGACGGCCTGGAACTATCATGCGGAGCGGCGCACATGCTCTAAATGGTGCCCAAATTCCCAAACCGTTGCTTTCGTCTCCCAGGAGGGCAAGGAATACAAAACGAAACCCACCACCAACTATCATTAAAAACTTTAGAACTTAGCCGAGAGAAGATCCCTCATCAGGTTCTTAGGCTTCGGAGGTCGGAGATTGCACCACGGGGCTGCCAAAAGAGTAAAAGGGCCACCTTCACAGTTAGAGGCCAGAGAAGGGAGGGAGAAGGACGGAGGAGTTCGACAAAGAGTTATGAGGCGCGCAGTAGGACTGAAAATCCGGACGGGAAAGACAGAAAAGTCGGAGGCAGACGGTCTCTTGTCCGACCGGAGATTCCTAAGCCTTCTTCTCCTCCTCCACCTGCTTCTCCTCACTCCCCACCTTCGTCATCCCCCGCGCCTCCGACTTCAGATCACCCTTCCGTTCCCCCTCCCCGTCTCATCCTTCGCCTCCTCCTCCTCCTCCTCCTCCTCCTCCTCCTCCTCCTCTGTCTCCTCCTGTGGCTGCCCCTCTCTCTTCCCTGCCTCCTCAAACCACTCCCGATCCTCCTCCCCCGCCTGATTATCGTCCTTCCCCTTCTCCTCCTCCTCCTCCTCCTCCTCCTCCTCCTCCTTCATGGTGCGTTCGACGGAGCGCGCCCTGGCCCCAGACCGATGACCAATAGCGGCTCGTTACCCCGCGAGGCGAAAGCCGTCATCACCAACATCACCATAAACACACAAGCAGAAAGAACGGAGTGTCGCCTACTGGCGTATTGGCTTGCATCCAAGCTTGTATCGCTCGTATGGGAGGGCACGGTGATGAGAATCCAGACGAGAATGAGCGGGGCAAACAACGATATCGTCAGCTAGGCTACCAGCTGGGGAGATCCACCATGGAAATCGCTCTTACGCAATGCGTGGAAGCAAAATTGGCTGTAGTATCGAGCAAACGCACAATCGGAAACGCTGCTGGAGGTCAAAATGATGTTTACTGGCATCTCAACCGACGAGTTGTGTGGGCAAGGAGGCGAGCTTTGGGACACTGCAATAAAGTGATGCCGGTTACATTGACCCTGTATGCAAGCAAGCTGGTGTTAACATCCCAGGGCCTCGCACGGCAACAGACCTTGCTTGTGCATGGAATCGTGGCAAGACAATTCATTTGCAACGCACACGCTCCAAACATCAGCTCTGCCCCACTCCGGCAATGGGGAGTTAGATTCCCGCGGGTAGGGATGACAATGCCTTCTAACACTCTGCTGGTCAACACTCAGCAGACCAAATGCAGGAGGTCGTGAACCAGTTAACGGCAGCAGGAACTGATAGATGAAGAACTGGTGCCTCAGTGCAGAGGAACTGATGGATGAGGTGCGACCTCCCCCGGTGATGAATGTCCTCCAGCAGAAAGGCTAAAGGTATCTTCTCTTGGGATTGTGGGCACCTCCTGAGCAGATTTCCACTACCGCTACCGGATGGAGACATGCGGTTCGCAAATTCTGGTCTACATAATGCCTATCTCTGACGGGCGCCTTCAGGAATACAGTACTATGATGAAAAAAAGGCCAAAGAGGCACCATAGATCAGAACAGAGCCTGTTGAGCCCATTTCAGTTTGATAACGATGGAAATGCCTTAGCCAGGCTGTACAGTAGAGTAGGGAATGACTACCTGGAATTACCAAGACAGTGGAACACTTGGCGGTACTCGCAATTGCCATACTGCTTCCACATCAACTCACCCAAAAAGTCAAATCCGACTTCAAAGGAGTCACAGGTATTCACTTCAAGGATCGCCCTTCGCCCTGGCCCGTACAGCGGTAAGAATTTCATTCGGGCCTTGACTTGATGACGCCAAGTAGAACGCCGCGAGATGCCGATTTCGACTATCCTGGCGAGAAATCCACATATGCAGACGTGAATACCGTGTTGTGGCACTGCTTTCGGTGGAACCGTTATGGGAGCACGAATCGTGGGAAAGGTACGCTCAAATAGGGCGGCACCGCCATGCGAACCTCGCCATTGGGCCTTCGGTGGAGCTCCACATGGGGCCGTGAAGCGTGTAAAGGGTTCGCCAAAATGGGACGGCGCCGCCATGTGGACCCTGCCACTGGGGCCTTCGGCTGAGATCCCTATGGGGCCACGAGCCGTGCGTAGGGTGCGCCAAAAATGAGGCGTCGCCGCCATGTGGACCCTACCACTGGGGCTTTCGGCTGAGCTCCCTACGGGGCCACGGACCGTGTGATAGGTGCGCCAAACTGGGGCGGCGCCGCCATGTGGGCCCTGCCACTGGTGCCTTCGGTGGAGCTCCCTACGGGGCCACGAAACGCTGCACTGGGTGTGCCGAAACACCGACATGCGGAGGGTAGAGGCAGGGATGTGAGGAGGGAGGGGAGGGAGGAGGAAGGAAGGAAGGAGGACGGAACGCGGGGCGCTGCCTCGTCGAAACAAGGATCCAGCACCACAGGATTGTTGGGAATCAGCTCCTGTCCAAGCTGACACACGAGTCGTCAACCCGAGGCTCGGATGCTCGGTTCGATACAATAAGCAATCAGGCGCCTGACGGGGCGGCTAAGGCAGGGACACCTCAGCACTCGGATGCAGGTCCGGCGTCGGCCGAAGGTAGGAAATTGTCAGCCATCGCTCTTGAGGCATGCCCTGGGCACATCGCCGAGATTTCTCGCTGCGCACCTTGAGCTTCTGAGAAAAAGGGGCTGCTAGCCCAGATTGCTGGGGCCCGCAGGGGAGCGTGATTCCTGCGAATCGCGCAAGGGGGTATGGGCGAGGGGGAAAGGCTTCTCAGGAGAAGACTGCTCCTTGAAAAGGCGGCGGGCCTGCACCTATAGACGAGGCCCGCCCCACCGAGAACCAGGGGTGCTTCCAGGAAGCCTTCCACCCCCCCCCCTATCGGGCCGGGCGAAAGGGGGGGATTGGGAAAGGGGGGGTTACGAAATTTGCTGCATGCAGCTGGTTTCGGCTTCACCGAGGGGCCCAGTCCTCGATACATAGCCGCCTCCGGCGCCGGGAGGCGCCGGGAAAATCAGCTACGTGAGCTGATTCTCAAACCCCCCCTTTGCTATCCCCCCCTTTTGCCCGACCCGACCCTACCACCCCCTGCGCGTGGCTGAGACTCGACGCCAGGATTCAGGGTCGGCCCGACCCCCTGAGGTGGTCGGGGCCGCACGTGGCTCTTGGGCGGCCGCTCGGGGCGCTCTGGGCCCTCGGGGGGCGCCCTCGGCGGGGTGCAGCCGCTGGGAGGCATACCCGCAGCTGGAAGACCGCCGACGACCGACGAAAACGCCCGAAAACTTCGAACATCGAGATTCCGAGGTCATGGCGCAGATCCTGGGACCTCCGGCTGCTGCAGATCCTCCAGGCCAGGAGGGGAGAGGCCTCGGGGGAGGGGGGGACCTCAGGGCGCTCTGCTGTGGCGGTCGCCGCCGCCTCTCTGGCCCCTGCTGCTGCTGCTGCTGCACCTCAGCCCCCCTCCTGCTGCCTATACAGATGGGCCTCAGCACGGTTGGCGTTTGCGGCCGAACAAGAAATCTCAGTGCTGCAGCCAGTGCCAGAGGTGACCTTTAACGATCCGCCGACGGCTGAGCAGAGTAGAGGGCTCAGCAGGGTATCCCAATCCCTTCACGATAACCGTCGGTACCGCACCTTGCATGCGACGGAGCTTGCTCACAGCATCCTCGCCATGTGCGAGAAGTGTGGGTGTATGCCAGAATCGTCGGAAGGTGTCCGAGCAGTGCGATTGGAGGACACTTGCAAACGCAGGATAGAGACGGAACACCCCGCTGGCAACTGTCAAGGGCGCAGCAAGGGCTGCACCCAGTTCACAAGAGAGGGTATGTAAATATAGAGTCGTTCTTCCCCTTCTGAAATGTGTTTCAAGTTGAGGAAGAAAGTCACCGGCTCGAAGCCGGCATCGAACAGCCACGATAAAACATGTTCTAAACCAATGGCTGCAATCGGGCTCGTCAATGAGATGAGCGTGGTGGCTAGCACTGCCGCCCCCCGCTAATACATGACATTGTGTGAAGCATGTATTTGCATATCCTTATACATGGGCATGCATACATGTATCAGAGTCGCATCAATCAGAATTGGCACGGTGGGTTTGGCCGACACCTGGAAATCCAAGAACAAACGTCGTGCTGGTAAATAGTCGATGACGTAGCGAGAGCTGCGCCCAGGCCATGAACAAGGACATTATTCCTGGAGCTGCTTATCTCGTTAACTGCTGTGGTCCAGATCGACGGGGACTGACAACCAGTTGCGGCGGGTGAGTATCTTGTTTGGCTACTGCGGGGAGAGGTCCTAGGACAGTTGCGGCCCTTGCAGCGATGTTCGCAGTGGCGTCTTGAGTCTTGAGTGGTCGTGTCCCGCCACCATGCTTCAGAGCCTCCTCTTCCTCCTTCGCATTCTCCTCGTCCTCCTCCTCCACCAACCGCTCCGCCGACCTCCTCTCCCTCCCCTCCTCCTCAGTCCTTCCCTTCCCCGGCCTCTTCCTGCTCCAACCCCTCCTGCTCGTCCTCCTCACCATCATCATGATCATCATCATCATGGTCCTGCTCCTCCTGCTCCTCCTCATCATCAACATCACCATCATCATCGGCAGCAGCATCATCATCAGCATCATGATCATTACCACCATCACCGTCATCACCGTCATCACCACCGTCACCATCATCACCACCATCACCAGCAACAGAATCTTCCTCCCCGGCCCTCCCTGGCCTCCCGCCCTCACCCACTCCTTCTTTGGCTACCCCCCTCCACAAAGGGGCAGAAGCACCGACCTCGGCCGGTCGGTGCTCCAGCCTCCGGCACGCCGACCTCCTCTCCCGCGATCCTGTCCCAGACCTCCGCCTCGGCCGCGCGCCTGTGCTCGGGGCGGCCGAAGATGAGCAGGGGCCTCGGGCCCTCCTCGGAGCTCTGCCGCGGCGCGGCGGCGCCGCCGCCCTCGAAGAAGCAGAGGGTGCCCGTCCTCTCCTCGATCGCGTGGAGCAGGGCCCCGCGCTGGCCGGCGATGAAGCCGGCCGTGGCGGCGCCCACCATGACGACCGTGACGTCGCTGCGGCCCCGGTGATCGATGTGGACCCGCTCGCCGGCTCGCTGGCAGAGCCGCCACCTCAGGTACTCCCTGGCGCGGCCGCGCTCGCTCCTGACGCCGCAGAGGTACGCAACACGGCCGACGTACTCCACGGTGCAGCCGGAGGCCTTGGCCAGCTTCTTCCGGGTGGACCCGTTCTTGCCGAGCGCGTAGCTGTAGTCCTCCTCCCGGATCCTGACCGTGTCGATGGCGAAGCCGTCCTCGAGACTCTCGTGGTCACCCACGGTCTGCGTAAAGTAGCCCATCACCTTCATCTCGATGGCCGCCATCACCTTCAGCTGCGCTCCCCACCGCCGCCGCTCGGGCCCGAAGATGGCCAGGCTCTCGACGTGCAGCGGGTTCGCGCGCTGCGGGGGCCTCGCCGGATCCAGCCGGAGGAAGAAGAGCAGCGTGCACCACTCCTCCTCGACCAGGCGCAGGAAGGATCCCCCCTTGCCGGTGATGAAGCTGACTGTATTGGCTGGCACCCCCAAAATCGTCAGGTCGTCGTGGGCCTGTGGATCGGCTATGTCCACGGGCCCAAGCCTCTGAGCGATCACGAACTCCACGTACTTGAGGCACCGCCGCCGCTGCACGTCCGAGCCACGTACCTGCAGCTGGCATCCCGTAGCGGCTTCTACGAGGTTGATGGTGGCACCACTCACCGCGTTCAGCTTGGCCTTGGTCTTGCCAGCGCGTCCCAATATGTAGGCGGCCTCGTCCCGCGTGACCCTCCGGGTAAACATGTCGGCCTTACCAGCAGCAGCGTCAGCAACATCGAGAACCATGCCGATATCCGAATGCGCTGCCATCTACACAGGAGTTAGAAGGTGCGCATCTGGCGGATCCGCAGAAAGGAAGACCCTCAACGTCGCTCCTACGTCAGCTCTGGCAGGCCACTGCACCATGCATGGGACGCCGCCAAGAACGGGAGAGAGGCGAGGCTCGACCCTAGAGCCCTAAATGTGGAAGATGTTCGATAACCGAGGAGACGCGCATGACATCTGACATGTATTTGTCCACCGACCCCCTGCGCTTTGTGGAGCGCCGTGCGATGAGGGCCGCGAGGTAAGTCAACGTTCCCAGCGGAGGTCAACGTTCCCAGCGGAGGTTAACGAGGAAGGCCTGCACTGGGCTACCTCTGTATCCCATGGGCCACTGAGAGGAGGGCACCTTTCCTTGGCCCGATGCCCAACAGCGAGTGCTGCCTCAAACCGACAACGGCCGCTGCTGGGCAGGCGACGATCGCCCTAGACGGCCAACGTCCGCGGCGACTCCAGCAGCGGATCTTGTTCAGGGTCGCCAGGGACTGCTGTTGGTCTTCCTCCCCATTCTCTCCGCTATCCCAAATTGAAGAGGGACCCAGGCCAGATCCCAGCCCCCTGCGACAGGGCAGCCAGCCTCGACCAGCCCAAGCCAGGCCCGCACAGCAGGCCTGGCCCTGCCACTGCCTCGGCCCTGGGGCGGGGCGGCGGGCATCGATCAGCTTGACGCACCAGCGCAGCCCATTCCGCTGGGCCCCAAGAGCTACGAGCAGTCCAAGCCACTTCGGCCTCGGCAATTCACGGGCATCGGCAATTAACGGCTCCTCGTTAAGCATTAATCTGCCCCCCCCCCCCCCCCCCGAAAAAGTAATCTTGCGTAGCATTCCGCAGATGCGGATAAGAGTGAGGGGCCAGTGGGGACGTTGGCAGTCTTCGAGACTCCGGATAAGCCCGCCGCAAGCGCCAACGTTTCACAAATTATACAACGAGCCCGCCGCAGGCGCCAATTTTTTCGTTAGACCAGTGTGGGTAGGTCGCGGGGTGTGTCGCGGGTGGGTCGCGGGGTGGTCCGCGGGTGGGTCGCGGGGTGGTCCGCGGGTGGGTCGCGGGTGGGTCGCTGGTGGGTCGCGGGGTGGGTCGCTGGTGGGTCGTGGGGTGGGTCGCGGGTGGGTCGCGGGGTGGGTCGCGGGTGGGACCGGGTGGGTCGCGATTGGGTCGCAGGGTGGGTCGCGGGTAGGTCGCGAGTTGGGTCGCTGGTGGGTCGCGAGGTGGGTCGCGAGGTGGGTCGCGGGCGGGTCGCGGGTGGGACGACGACAACAAACAAGCAACAACATCGCAACAAACATAATCCCCACCACGGATCCCTACTTCAGCCACGCACCCAGGGACAATGACCGTTCGGCCCCCTCACTCTGAGTGGGTCGCAGGTGGGTCGCGGGTGGGTCGCGGATGGGTCGCGGGGTGGGTCGTGAGTGGGTCGCGGGGTGGGTCGCGGGGTGGGTCGCGGATGGGTCGCGGGCGTGTCGCGGGGTGGGTGGCAGGAAGGTCGAGGGGCGGGTCGGGGGGTGGGTCGCGGGTGGGTGGCGGGTGGGACGACGACAACAAACAAGAACAATAACAACAACCACAACAACAACAACAGCAGCAGCAGCAACAACAACAACAACAACAACAGCAACAACAGCAACAACACCAACAACAACGAAAACAACATCAACAACACCAACAACAACAACAACAACACCAACAACAACACCACCAACAACAACAACACCAACACCAAAACCAACAACAACAACAACACCAACAACAAACAAGAACAATAGCAACAACCACAACAACAACAGCAACAACAACAACAACAACCACAACAACAGCAGCAGCAACACCAACAACAGCAACAACAACACCAACAGCAACACCAACAGCAACAGCAACAGCAACAGCAACAACAACAACAACATCAACAACAGCAGCAGCAGCAACAACAACAACAACAATCACACCAACAACAACACCAACAACAACAACAACAACAACACCAACAGCAACAGCAACAGCAACAGCAACAGCAACATCAACAACAAGAACAACGACGACGACGACGACGACAACAACAACAACACCAACAACAACAACAGCAGCAGCAGCAGCAGCAACAGCGACAACAACAACAACAACAACAACAACAACAACAACAACGACGACGACAGCAACAGCAACATTAGCAACAACAACAACGACAGCAACAGCACAACAACAACAGCGCAACAAGCAGAATCCTCACCACGGATCCCCAGGGACAATGAATGACCGTTCGGCCCCCTCACTCTAATAAACATGCGTGTTCGCTCTCCTCGAAAGCAGGCCGCCTTTTACGGCGCTCCCTCAATCAGGATGCGGCTCTACATGCAAATGCGCTCGACATCCCCACTCGCGGCGCCGCTTGCTGTACATGGTCAAAGGGCACACCACGTAGAACCTCCCAAAACCTCCCTGTACAGCCCGAGGAGGGCCAAATACCACCCCTGGACGATTTCAAGACGCCTGAGAGACAGCCGACGACAGCGCCAACGTGGCCCCTAGACTCTAGCGAAGACCGTCAAGACTGCCCGGGTGAGCCGTACGGTCTTTCCGGGTGCCTCCAGTGCGTCCCAAGGTAGCTCACAGGCGACACTTCACAGGCAAATCACCTTGGACGATATGCTAGCTGGACCACCACCCAAAACGACCTACTAGTACTGCTTAAATGCCTACGCGCATGATGCTCGATTCTGCGGCATGGGTGCGTACGTGTCACGAGCACGAACTCCAAGGGTGATTGCACCAACGGTCATTTCGCCCCAGGGGCAATCATTCACAAACCAGATCGATCAAGAGACAACGACGACGACTGCTATATACATATATATATATATATACAGAGAGAGAGTATCGAAACGGAGACCTGAACACGGTAGAAACGCATACAGAAACATACGGAGGCTGATACACAAGCCGTTGAGACAGACACCTCACACGCAACGTCTGCTGCTGCCACTGTTGGTGCACTCGCCGTTGCCGTCGCCGATGGCCCGGTCACTTTGTAGCCGCCGACGGTACAGTTAGAGCCCACCAGTCAGGTGCAGAGACGCCTGGCCCACCAGGAAAGCCCTGATGACCGGACCGGTGAGAAACGACCTGCTCCTCCGCGTGGCGCGCGTGGCCCGCCAGGACTCTGCCGCAGCCTGAAGCGCCTCGCCCTGCTCGGCCGAGCGCCCCGGGGCCAACCTGCAGCGGAGGGCCGCGGCGCACGGCCCGCCACGGCGCTCCGTGCCCCTCGGGGCCCGGGCGGGCCTCCCTCGCCCCAGGCAGGGTGGCCTCCGCGGGGCCTCCTCGCGCGGCCTCCGCGCCGGCCGAGGAGCGGGCCTCCGCGGGGCAAGCCGCCGAAGCGCTGCCGGGGATGGCGGGGGGGGGGGCGAGCGCGTCGAGCACGCCCTCTGCTGCACGCTCGAGGCCTGCCGGCAGACGACGCGGCAGGGCGTTCCTCGAGCGGCAAGCTGAGAGGCCTCGACGGGCGGGGCAAACGACCGTAGCGACGACCCCCCTCGTCCTCCAACCTCCCCTCCCGCTAATCCTTCTCGTCCTCCAGCCTCGTCCTCCTCCGGCCTCCTCCTCCTCCTCCTCCTCCTCCTCCTCCTTCTCCTCCTGCTCCTCCTCTTCTGTCTTTTCCTCATCCTCCAGGGCCCCTTCACCCCTCTGCGGCCTGCCAGAAGACGCTTCATCAGTGGCTTTGATGGAGGCCTTGGTCTCCACAGCGTCTGGAAGGTTCGTTGTCCTGCCAGAGGAGGGAGGAGCGGCGGGAGTGAAGAGGACGAGGTGGAAGAGAATGAGAAGAGTTCGAGGAGGCGGCTGAGGATGAGGAGCCGAGGAGCAGACAAGACGGGGAGGAGGGGACAGGAGAAGGAGAAGGGCAAAAAGCAAGCTAGGTGCGCTCACGCCACATGTGTCAGCCTACCCCGCTCAAACATCTCTTCCCACTGCGCCGCTGTGTGCTCCATCCACCGACGGGTGTCATGGCGGATGTGGATCCCCCTGGCGGACCGCATTGTGTTCTGTGCGCAATCCAAAAATGGGCGAGCCGGGCACATTGGAGGAGGAGGCGGGGGCGGTGGAGGCCTTAGTGGAATTGCGCCGACGGTGTCGAAGGGCGGCCAGGTTCCCAGCTTCCCCGGAGGCTCGGGAGAGCTGACAGAATAGAGTGGGGGGTAACGGGCCGAGGGTAGATTGTACCGAAGAGACGGTTTAGGGCGGAGCGCAGAGTGCCGAGGGTTTCTACCAGAGGTGCGAGCGTTTACGTATATCTAGAACTGTATGTAGATATGCATAGCGAGGGATGGATGGACATGTGGCACACCACAGCGAGATAACATAAGCCCAAGTGTATGAAACAGAAAGATCTGCATATGCGAGGATACATGGTAGACGGTACAAGGAGTCCCCTTGGGAACGAAACCCTCGAAGGGAGTATGAGCTGCAGCGGCCCTTGGTTCGCGGATTGCTGGAACGTCGTGGGGTCCCCTCGCTGGTTCCCTGAAGCTTTAAGGAAGCACGAGAGGCCCTCAAGAAGGGCCCACGACGGCCCGATAACCTGTCACGGATAAGGCCCTGGTCCGTGAAGCCCCTCTGAAACCCCAAAAGAGACAAAGCCCTTGATCGTGACGGGCTGCTGGTCCCTCTTGAAGTCCTCCAGCAACTGTCCTGAGGCCCAACGAAGGTCACAAAAGGCCCCCAAGAGGGGTCCGGATGGGGACACTTGGAGCTCCGCCCAAGTTATGCGCAACGTGTCCAAGACAACGAGCAGGTCGCGGGGGCGAACCCAAGTAGGTGTTCGATGCGATCGACGCCTCCTCGCCGCTGACCGCACGCGAGTTCACGCGCCGCGCCGCTGATCCAGATCGAGCGTGTTTGATATGGTTGTGGATTGGTTGCAAGATTGGCTCTGCGGCCCGCCAGACATGACACGACGGGAGACACCTCGTCATGAAGCGGAGTAGCGCGTCACAGTTCAAGCCCCCCCCCAAGCCTCGGAACAAGAGGTGCCGCACCTTACGGTTTCCTGTGCGCTCCTCGAGCAGTCGCCACCCAGAATGCTCGGCTGGCACGTTAGCGGGACTTGCCGCGGGCAGCGGGATACGAACGGAGGAAACATGATGACGATGATGCCGATGTTGATGCTGATGCTGATGCTGATGCTGATGATGCTGCTGATGATGAATATGGTGATGATGAGGACGATGGTGGTGAGAATGATGTGAAGGACCAGCTGAGAGGAAGAAGAAGGAGAAGAAGGGGAGAGGAGGAGAAACAGGAGAAGGAGGAGAAGGAACCGTATGAGGAGGGGTGAGGAGGAGGAGGAGGAGGAGCCCAGCGTAGAGAGGAGGAGGAGGAGGAGCAGGAGGAGGAGCAGGAGGAGGAGGAGGAGGAGGGGGAGCCAGCAGTGCAAGGACACGGTGTGGATAAGAAGAACGGAAGGGAGGAGAAGGAGGAAGAGGGGAAAACAGACGAGGAGGAGAGGAATGAGGAAGAAAGACACGGCTGATGAGAAACACAGGGAATGATGTGGAGGAGGCGAGGAAAGCAAACGGCGACAAACTAGGAGGAAGAGTAGGAGGAACGCTCGACAGCGAGGATACATGTGAAAGAAGACGTGGAACAGCTGTGGGAAGGAAAACTGAAGAAGGGCACTTTCCGAAAGTTCAAGCTGGCTTCCGCCAGCGTTCCGCCAGCCTTCCGCCAGCTGGCGCCGGCGGACCCGCCATCGATTTTAACCTTGGAAGCAATAAGAGCTCCCCGCCCTGACCCAGAGACCAGAAGAAACTAGAACGCTTCCTGCACCGGGGCTGGGGCCGAAACGATATCCCCCGCAGTGGCCCTCGAACCAAGATCCTCTGGGCGGGCAGAAGGAGCAAGAGCTGGGTTCCGACGACGGGCTTTCTATGCATCCCAGGAGATTCCCTTGCCTGGCGCTCGGAGCTGCGGATCCTGCCCAATGAGGGTGGAGGGAGAATTGCATCAGCTTCGAATGGGACTTCTTTGAAGATTCTTGGGAAGATGCTGTGATATACCCGTGGTTCAAGAGCCGCCACGTTGACCACCGCGGCCGGTGCAATACTCGCTTCCCGAACATCCTGAGTGGGCTTCTTGATTTCTCTTGACATCCCCGCGCCAGAACAAGAACGCTCACCACTTCATCATCGCCATCACCATCACCACCATCACCATCAACATCATCGCCACAGTCACCATCATCATAATCATCAATCATCATCATCATCATCAGCAGCAGCAGCAGCAGCATCGTCATCATCATCATCATCATTATCATCATCATCATCATCATCATCATCATCATCAGCATCGTCATCATCATCGCCATCATCATAATCATCATCATCATCAGCACCATCATCATCATTACCATCATCATCATCATCAACAACATGATCATCATCAGCATCATCATATTCACCCTCATAACCATAATCATCGCAATCATCATCGACATCATCAATCATCATTGTCAGCATCGTCATCATCATCGTCGTCGCCACCATCACCACCACCATTATCATCATAACCACCATCATCATAATCATCACCATCATACCAGCATAACCACAATCGGCGCCGCCATCATCATCATCATCATCATCATAATCATCATAATCATCATCAGCATCATCACCATCATCGCCGTCACCCCCTTCAACACCATCAGCATCGTCATCATCATCGTCAGCATCATCAGCAGCACCACCATATATCACAATAGCATCGTCATCATGAACCTACGTATGGTCATCCGCATCATCATCCTCGTCATCATTACCAGTATCCCCATCATCAGCATCATCCTCATCAGTCACTCTCTCTCTCTCTCTCTCTCACTCACTCGCCCGCCCACTCACTCACACATCATCATCATCACCACTAGCATCATCATCCTCATCATCGTCATCATACTCACTATCGTGACTATTACGTAGTATCCTCACCATCCCCACCACCATCATCACCACCACCTGCATAATCATCATCCGCACCATCACCAGCATCATCAGCACCACCATCATCATCATCATCATCATCATCATCATCATCATCATCATCATCATCATCATCATCATCATCATCATCATCGGCATCATCATCATCATCATCATCATCGTCATCATCATGACCAGCCTCATCATCTTTATCTTCATCATCTTCATCATCATCAACCTCACCATGGCCCCGAGGCTTGAATCCTCAGGAACTCAGGCGGAGGCCTTGTCTGTGACACAATTGGGGGGAAGTCTCAGGCAAGAGCCCCCTCCCTACGTGGCCCGTACCACCTTTTCCTAACCACAGGGGTCACTTTTGAGCTCCTGAGGCTTGAATCTTCTAGAAATCCCAGGCGTGTGCCTTGTCTGTGAGTCGTTTGCGAAGAGATCTCAGGCAGGAGCCTTTCCCTTTGGGGCCCGCACCTCATGTTGTTCATCACACGGGGTCACTTGGAACCTCTAACCGTTGTCACTTTTGTGCCCCTGAGGCTTGAATGTTCAGGAACTCTCAGGCGGGGGGCCTTGTCAGTGAGTGACTTGCGAAAAAGTCTCGAGCGGGAGCCCTCTTCCACATGGGGCCCGCATCTCATCTTTCCTGGGTGCAAAGGGTCATTCGGAATCTTTAGTTGTCATCACTTTTGGGCCCCGGAGGCTTGAATCTTCAGGAAGCCTCAGGCGGGGGGCTCGTCTGTGAATGATTTGCAAAACTGTCTCAGGCGGGAGCCCCCTCCGTGTGGGGCCTGCGCATCACGCTTCTCATCACAAGTGGCCACTTGGCACCTGTAACTGTCGTCACATTTGAGCTCTTGAGGCGGGGACCTTGTTTGTTGTGAGACCTGCGAGGATGTCTCCGGTGGGAGCCCCTTCCCTATGGGGCCCACACCTCACGCGCTGAATCTCAAGGGGGCCTTTTGGGCACTTGTAACCGTCGTGAGTTTTGCGTGTTCGAGCTTCGAATCTTTATGCAATTTCAGGCGGGGGGGGCCTTGTCAGTGAGTGATTTGCGAAGGAGTCTCAAGCGGGAACCCCCTTCCATCTGGGGCCCGCACCGCATGTGCTTCAGCACAAAAGGCCGTTCGGAATATGTAGCTGTCATCACTTCTGGCCCCTGAGGCTTGAACCTCCAGGAAGTCTCAGGCGGGGGGCTCGTCTGTGAGTGATTTGCAAGGTTATCTCAGGCGAGAGCCCCCTCCCAGTGGGGCCTGCACATCACGCTTCCCATCACAAGTGGCCACTTGGCACCTGTACCTGTCGTCAGATTGGAGCTCTTGAGGGACATGTGTTTCAGCATAAGGGGGTCATTCGAAACCTGTAGCTGTCATCACTTTTGGGATCCTGAGGCTTGAATCTTCAGCAACTCTCAGGCGGGGGGCTCGTCTGCGCGTGCACTACGGGGAAGTCTCAGGCGGGAACCCCATCCCTATGGGGCCCGCACCTCACCTTTTCATCTCAGGGGGGTCTTTCGGCACCCGATCCCGTCGTCACTTTTGAGCTCTTGAGGCTTGAACCTGCAGGAAGTCTCAGGCGGGGGCCTCGTCTGTGAATGACCTGCGAGGATGTCTCCGCCTTGAGTCCCCTCATTATGAGGCCCGCACCTCATACTTTTAATTCCAGGGGTGGGGCAGACACGAAATCAGGATTACTACATGACTGGCTAAAGAGAAAATCATGTGGCGCCCCAGCGTCGGAGTAGCTCTAATCATGTGCGAATGTATCACGGGGAGTCGGTCGCGGAGTCCGTTTGTAATATCCCTCCGTGGACTCTCCCCTAGGATCCCCTGACAAAATCAATGTCTGCATTGGGGCCGCTGAGGACTGCCTATGTCCGCGCGAGCCCGCTTCCTCTAGACTCTTGAGATTCCTCCAGGGTCGCCGAACGATATCGACGGGGGGGTACTTTCGCCACCTTCCGACGACCTGCCCCCCACCCTAGGCAGAGACGCCAACGCCCTCGGTCCGATCGAAGGCGAGGCCCCTTCCTTCGACTACACGCAAGAGTGACCCTTGGTAAGACTGACCTTTGGTGCGCGGACAGGGGGACACTTTGGGGACACCGCCAGGCGCGCAAGCCGCAGCTATCGCCTCGCATTCGGCGATCGAGGGGCCCCGTTGGGCCCGCACTAAAGGTCACTCCAGCGAAAGGTCACTCTTACGTCTTATCGATTAAGCGACCCAAGCGGGGGGAGGGGAAGGGGGCCGGCCTGGCAGACGCGGCGCAGGCCTCCCTGATAGAGCAGAGCGGCAGCGTCCTGGACGGTTTGCGCGTGTCTGTCCTGGGAGCCGCGCGTGCGGCGCCTCCTCCTCCTCTTCCTCCTCCTCCTCCTCCTCCTCCTCCTCCTCCTCCTCCTCCTCCTCCTCCTCCATCTTCCATCGTCCACCCTCGTGTTGCCTCCTTCTCATTCCTCCTCGCCCTCATTATCCTCCTCCTCCTCATCCTCCTCCTCAACATCATCATCATCACCACCATCAATGTGATCAGCATCATCATCATCATCATCATCATCAGCAGCAGCATCATCATCAACGTCATCATCATCATCAGCATCATCAGCTGCATCATCATCAGCATCAGGTTCGCCATCATCATCATCATCATCATCATCATCATCATCATCATCATCATCATCATAATCACCACCATCATCATCAGCAGCATCATTGTCATCATCGTTAGCATCATCACCATCATCAGCATCAGCATCAGCCTCGTCATCGTTGTTAGCATCACCATCAGCATCTCATCATTAGCATCATCGTCACCATCATCAGCATCGTCATCGTCACCGTCGTTGACACCATCGTCATAATCGTCATCGTCGTCGTCATCATCCTCATCCTCATCGTCATCGTCGTCGTCATCGTTATCGTCATCATCAGCATCGTCGTCTTCATCACCAGCATCATCACCAGCATCATCACCATCACCACAACCACCACCAATCACCATCATCATCAACATCAGTAACATCATTACCATCATTACAAGTACCATCGCCAGCATCACAACTATACGAATCATCATCGTCACCATCATCATCAACAAGATGATCATCAACAACACAATTGTCATCATCCGCTTCATCGCCATCAATGTCATCATCACAAGCTTCTCCGATATCATCAACATCATCATCATCAACATCATCATCGTCATCATCATCACCATCATCTTCATCATCATTGCCCTTCCCTTTTCCTCAGCATCGTCTTTACTTGTCTGTGCATCGGCTCACTGTCCTGTCGATACAATGCGACCCAATGGCCGTCTTACGCGACCGCGGAGTCATCGGGCTGCCTGCTTGTCTGCGACTGGACATGCCATCTGCTCGTCTCTCCTAGCGCTGGCTGCGGTGGCATGTCCCACCTCCTCTTCCTCCTCGTGGCGCAGAGTGGAAGGACGGCCGCGGCTTCTGGAAGATTAGCCAGAGGAAAGCGAGCTTGCAAGGATGGCATCGTCGGGACGATACCATCGTCGAGCCAGCATCGCAGAGGAAAGCGAGCTTGCCGCTGAAGCTGGAAGCGTGCCTCGCTTCCCCACCAAAGCGCAACGGGTACCCGGAAGTCAATGCGAGAGAGAGAGAGAGAGAGAAGGAGAGATGGAAAGAAGTGGGAGGGACGAGGAGGCGCGGGAAGAGGAGGTCGGTGGCGACGACAAGGACGAGGACGACGCTGCTAGCAAGGATGAGCAAGATAAGGAGTAGGATGGCTAGGACATGGAGCACGGAGCAACATCAGAAAGAGGAGAACGAGAATGAGGAGTAAGGCAAATGAGGAGCACAAGCACCGGCAACAGGAGAAAAGGAAAGGAGACAACGTAGTCCTCGAATTCTTCGAAGGTGACCTCGAAACCTTTGAAGATATCCTGTTAGCCGGGGCTCTCTTCACCCCTGCTGAATCACGCCTGACGACACCGTCTGTTCTCTCCCTCCGCGCCCGTCCACGTTCTCCTTCATCCCCCCGTCCAGTATCAACACTTCCCCCTGGCATTCTTCCTCTCCGTTCTTTTTCTTACCTCGCCCTTCCTCCGAATGTTATTCGCTCTCCTCAAAATCCTCCACCTCGCCTTTTTTCTCCTACACTCCCCTTCTCCATCCTCACCCCTCCCCGCCTATTTGCCCTTCACTCTTGTGAATGCTTCTCCTCCTTCTTCCTCGCCTCCTCCTCCTCCTCCTACTCCTCCTCCTCCTCCTCCTCCTCCTTCTCCTTCTCCTCCTCCCACTCCTTGTATCGGATCTTGTCCATCTCTCCATCGTTCTCTCCCAAACCTCTCTCCCCTCCTTCAGCTCGGCCGCTCAAATCCTCATCATGCTCATTATCCTCCCCCTTCTCTATCTAGTAACATCTCATCCTGCGCATTCTCCTCTTCATCGTCCTCCAGTCCCTCCTCCGACTCCTATTCATCCCGCTCCTCCCGCTCCTCCTCCTCCTCCTCCTCCTTCTCCTGCTGCATGTTCTCCTCCTCCTCCTCGTCCTCATCATCATCCTCATCCTCATCCTCATCCTCATCCTCATCATCATCATCATCATCATCATCATCATCATCATCATCATCATCATCATCATCACTACAACCACCATTAACATACTGATAATCATCATGATCACCATCGTCGCCAGCCTCATCATCATGATCATCATCAGCATCATCATCATCACTACCGCCATCATCCTCATCGTCATCACCACTATCAGCATCATCATCATCAGCTCCATCATCATCACCATCATCACCATCATCTCATATTCATCGGCAGCATCAGCATCATTGTCATCATCAGTATCAGCATCATCATCAGCATCATCAGCAGCAGCGGCATCATCACCATCGTCATCATCAACATCATCATCATCATCATCATCATCATCATCATCATCATCATCATCATCATCATCATCATCATCAGCGTCATCGTCATCGTCATCATCATCAGCATCATCATGATCGTCATCATCAGCCCGCTGCTGCTCCTGCTGCTGCTGTTGTCATTGCTGCAGTTGCTGCTGCTCCTCCTTTCATTCCAGAGCCCCCCCTACCCCCTTCCCCCCCTCCCACTCCTGTGTTTTGTCACTCTCTCCTCCCCCTCCTCCTCCCTCTCCTGTTTTACATGCTCTCTGGCTGCAACCAAAGCCAATCCATCGTCGAAGTATGGCACACGGCTTGAGCCGACCAACGACAACGGGCAAGCTGAGATGTCAAAATTGTTCGAGTTGGCCGAGGACGCGCCCAACCACAGCGGACAGATAACTTCAGGAAAAGGCAGAGCCGGAGGCGGAGCGGAGGGCGCGCGCCCCCGAACGGGCCATCCAGCCCGCCGAACTCCTCGACTACGATGGGCCAGGGCGGGACGGCGCGCGCTCGCGCGAGAGTTCGCGACTCCGTCCCGCCTCCGCAAACGTCGCAGCAAAGGCGCCAGGGGGCAACGCCAAGCAGGCGGAAGGCACGCGCGGAGCGAATTGCCGCAGCGAAATGACTCGTACTCCGTCGGGTGGGCCGCCCGGAACTTGCAGAGCAACCGAAGCCATACTGGACGGGCCGCATCTCTGACCAGGACCGCCCGGTTGATCGGCAGCCCCCAAAACTGCGCGCGTTTCCAGCACTACACCAAATCTGGGAATGGAGTTTACCGCCGGGTACGGCGCGCGTGGTCGGCTGGGGCGATTCGGAGCGGACCCAAGACGTCGTCAAGTTCTTGGTGAAAGATGCCCATCAGGAAGGCAAGCTCCACATGTTCGGCTACACGCGAAACAAGCGGACGCTGAACCTGTCGGTGAACTTAGCGAAGCTGGACCTGGTCATGAACCATGCGATGCCCAAGAAACGACGAGCACCAAACACAATGCCAGGAGCGCCATCCAGATCATGGCGCAGGCTGAGGGCCACTGCTGCGGAAGCTTCGGACATGCCGGCCAACTGAAGGTCTTCAAAAAACGGGGGGCGCGTTCGGGACCCATATACGCAGCAGCAGGGAGGAAATCATGAAGCCTAGAAGCCCGTGGCGCGAGCCACGCGAAGGTTTTCTACACTCGTCCTGTCCTCGCGGTAGGCTCGGCGAACTGGACGACGCCTGGCCTGGCGGAGATAACAAGCGTCCCCCGCGCGAGAAGAACAGGTCGAGAAACGGTACAGACGGTATTGAACAGCATGAGGCGCGGGCAGGAGATCGTGTCCTTGGGGGGAATGCAGGACATAGTGCGCCGCTCGGGGCAGGAGGCGGACGGGTGCGTCAGGAAGATCCTGGCGTTGAGTCTGTAGAGTGGCGCCTTTGCGGATCTCTGCCTCCCGGCCCTCCGCACACGAAGACCTGCTGGCACAGGATGATGTTCTGTGTGAGACGCTTTGCCATCGTCGCCGCCGTCGTCGTCAGCGTGGTCGTCGTCGTCGTCGTCGTCGTCGTCGTCGCCGTCCGTCCCACAGAAATGAAGGAACAGCGCGAAGTCGGAGGGAATCTCCTCCCTTTGATCCCTTTCCTGCCGGGGGAAGTGGGGCCCCGGGGTGGTGTCCCGAGGGGGTATAAAAGCCTAAAGCCAGAATACCATCCCTCCCAGGTGGTCTTGTTCTTTTCCAGTAACGGAAACTCGGCGCCAGCTTCAACCCTGCGCCCAGTCCGGCGTTGCCTCGCTGCAAAGGAGGCGCTCCTCCTCCTCCTCCTCCTCCGAAGACAGCGCGAGGGGGCACGCTTGGACCATGGCCGCAGCCCGGCGCCAGATGGCCACACCTATGGCCGCCTCGGTCCGGCGCTGCAGCGCCCGGTGGCAGCGCAGCCCACGTCGCTGCGCAGCCCGCAGCGCCAGCGTCCGCAGCGTCGCCTGCGCTTCCGGGTGGGCGCGGCCGTAGGCGGACTACACGATGGGCACGTACGAGATGCCCGCCGCCGCCAGCTCCGCGAGGTGGCCGCGGTAGTCGTCGCGCTTCTGGGCGCACATCGCGTCGCAGCCGTCCTCTCCAGCGCCTTGTGCCTCCAAGCTGCACGCGCCAACATCCAAAGCCGCCAGACGACCCACGAGGGCCGCGCTGGTCAGGAAATCTGCAGGGCAGAGCAACGGTGCTGACGGTATCAGCCCAAAAGCTTCGGCTTCGGCGCTGGGGTCGGACAGGTGCCCCAGCGTCGGTACGTGGTCGCGCACCTCGTGGTGGCCCCCAGTAGCCTCTGGGGAAACGCACTGGAGAGCGTGAGAGCACGCCTGGTCGAGCGCTCCTGTGCCGCACCACGGGCACGGCATCTCGACGTCGATGGCGGGGGCGCCAACCCGCACGCGCACCGCGGCGAGGTACTCCCCGTGGCCGAGGGTCGGGCCATGCTCTGGGTTAAAATCCCAGAGCCAGTCGTGGCTCACAGAAGGGTCCCCGAGCTCTTGCAGTCGGCGGCAATCAGCGCCCCGGCGAGTCGCAGCGAGGTTGGCGGAAACACTGTCGGCCGCGACGCTGCCGGCCACGGCGCACAGGTGGGACTGCAGACGGCCGTCTGGAGCCCGCTCGGGGTCCTCCGCGCCAGCTGGCAGGATGAGGCCGTCCCCCGCCAGCAGCGCGCTCTCCGCGCGGCCCCTCTGGTGCTCGCCGCTCGCGGCCCAATCGTCGACCGCAGCTTGAGCCTCCTCCGCGGCAAGGCTGCAGGCCTGCGCATCGAAGCGCCCCAGCAAATGGATCCCGTCGAATCCCGCCGCGGCAAGGGCCTCGTGCAGGCTGGCGACGTGAGCCCGCGACCCCGTGCGGGAAGCGAAGAAGGCTGGAAAGGCCACGCCGCTGGCCTTGCGAAGGCCGAGCCTTCCCTCGCGGACGCCCGCGGAGCACTGTGCCAACGACGCCTCGTCGAGCGGCCCGCCGAGCAGGCGCGTCGTGGCGGAGCATGCCGTCGTAGCGAGCAAGCGTCTCCTCGCTGAAGGTCGGGCCAGCTGCCCGGAGTAGGTAAACCACCTTGCAGACGTCTGCACGGCGCCGCATCAGCACGAGCTCGGCGGACGCATCCCTCAGCAGGCCCAGGGCGTCGAGCACGGCTGCCGCTTTGACTGCTGCTGCGGGGAACTGGGCGTCGGCCGTCCCGTTGCCGAAACCGACGCCGCACACGTGGCGGGCCAGCTCTCCGACCGAGGGCGCCGCAGACGCCAGGACGTAGGCCGTGGCCCAACGGGGGCGCGCCGCAGCGGCGACGCCAGGCGGCGCGATGACGGCCACGACCGACTTGGCATGCTCTCCCTGGCCACGCACCGCCCCAGCCCCAGCAACGGGGGCCTCAGCGTCGAGCGCACGCAGCCACGGGTCCACGCAGGAGCTGCGGGTGACGATCTGGCCATCGGCCATGAACCCCGCGTCGGCGAACTGCAGATTGTCCCCTGCTTGGGGTCACGACCCGCGCCAAGGGCCAAGGCGCACAGCAGCGGCCCAAGGGGATTGCTCTGCTCGGCGCCTCGGTCCACAACGATCGGCTGCCCGGACGGCAAAACCACAGTGACCTGCTCGCGGTGCCTCACGACGTCCAAGGCAGGAGGGCGGGCAACTCCTCGGCGACGGCGTCACGGATGCAGGCCCACTCCAGAGATGGGACGGCATTCTTCAGGTCCACATCGATTACTGCCAGCGGATCGACATCGGCGTGGCCGCAGCCCTCCCCCAGGAACTCCTCCAACGCAATGCGCCCATGGACGAGCGCGTCTGTGCCATCCGGCGCGCTGACGCCGAACTGCCGTGCGGCAATGCATCGCGCCTGTATGGATTCACGGCGCGCGTGGATCAACTTATTGGCAACCACTCTGCGCCATGCTGGGGCGTGGGGCGGCGCCCCTTCGCTTGCTGAGGAACGCCAGGCGGACCTCGAATATCCAGCGTGCCTCTGCGCAGAGGCGGCCGCCGACTCCTCGGAGATGGTGGCGATGGCTCGCAGCAGCCTGGAGGCAGCCCAGCCAGCCCGGCGAGCGGAGACCTCCCAGAGGATGATGTTCTGTGTGATACGCTTTTGCCGTCGGCGTCGTCGTCGATCGTCGTCGATCGTCGTCGCCGTCAACCGCAAAAAATTAAGGAACAGGGAAATTGAAGAACGTCGCAGGTAAGTCGCAAGGAATCCCTTCCCTTCGATCCCTTCCATGCTGGGGGGAAGTGGGGTGATGGGGTGGTGTCCCGAGGGCGTAGGGGGGGGTCCCAGGAAAAGTCCTGGGCCATGATGTCATCCCTCCCGGGGTTCCCGAAGCCCCAAAAAGGCCTACGCCGGGCCAAGGGTGCCCCAAATGGCCGCCAAGGCGGTCCAAGAGAGCCCCGAATCACCGAACGATCGGTCCAAGAAGTCTAAGACAGCCTCCAGACAGGCCAAGAGGCCTCTTTCCAAGACCTCCCAAGAGGCCTCCAAGAGCACTCCCTCGAAGGGAGGCGAACTTCATTGATTTCCCTGTAGTGTTTGGTCGATTTAGGCGTTCTCGCCTTTTCGGCTTCCCGACGCTCCAAGACGGCCCAAGAGGCCCCCCAGGATCGCCCCCAAAGACGGCCCAAGAGGCCCCCAAGACGGCCCCAAGGAAGCCTCAACAGGCCACCAAGAGGCTCCCGAGAGGCCACCAAGTGGCTCACAAGAGGCTCCAACACTGCCCCCCAGAGGCCTCTGAAAGCGCTCCAAAGAGACCCCAAGAAGCATCCCTGAGGTCTCTGAACCACGTCAGCGTCGTCTTCGCCGCCGCGGCCGTCGTCGTCGTCGTCGTCGTTGTCCCCCTTCAGGGTCGGCGGCACCGGCCGCCAGGCCTTTGCAATACTGGCACCCACCCGCCTTGAGTTCGGGTGCGATCGATTGCAAGACTGAGTTATGATTTAGTTGAGGCCTTGCAGGTTGCGCAGGCTGACGAATAAATGTGGCAGCACGTTTCCTCAGTGCAGCCACTGTCCTGCCTAGCTTCTCTTCGCGGGGGCACACGGTAAGTTCCGGGACACCTGCATATCTGCTGACCATCCGCCGATCACCATGTAGCCCATTCGCGTGAGTCCTCCAAGACGCCCCAGAATGGCCCCAAGAATACCCAATTCGGACCAAATGCAGCCCAACATGGCTCCCTGGCGGCACAGCTCGGCAACAATATCGTCCTAGAGGGGTTCAAGAGCGCTCCGAGAGCACCCCAAGGTGCCTCCAGGACAGCCCAAGGAGCCCCAGGAGGGCTGAAAGTCGCCCCACAGAGGCCAACACCGTTGGAACCACACTGATTGTTTACACGTTTCTGTCTAACTCGTCTGCCCTTTCAGTATTTATATCGCCCGTGACGGCCAAACAATCCCCCATCGCTCCCAGGCGGCCCACAAGGGCCCCAAGATCAGCCCAAGACGGCTCAAGAGGAACCCATGATGCCCAAGTGGGCCCCCAGAAAGACTCAAGACGGCCGACGAAGGCCCCAAGATGGCCCAACGGGGCCTCCAGCCCCGAAGCGAACCCCAAAGACCCCAACGACAGCCTAGAAGGCCCAAGAAGGGCCCTAAGAGGCCATCAACATGGCCCCAATGCAGCCCCAACAGACGCCGGAGACAACCTCCAAGACGGCTTAAAGAGTGCTCCCAACCACGAGTCGCAAACGACTGGACGCATTCACTTCAGCAGCGCCCCAAAAGAACCCACAAAGACCCCCTGAGACAACCCACGATGGCCCAAAGCCCAAAGGCAGCCCCTCGGCGGCCACTAGCATCCATCCCATGTCCTTTCTCTCGCTTCTCATGCGCCCATCTCCGCTAGAGTCTCCCGGTAACAAACCTGACACGACATCCACCAACTCTACACTGGACGCGGCGACCCCGCCGCGCAGCGGCGCTCATGTCCTGAACATGCATATTTGGTAAATGCTCGCAGTTGCTGCGCTGTCCAGCAGTTCAAACAGCCACAAGATGTTAAAAAGGGCCCCAACATGGCCGAAGAGGCCGCCAAGTAGGCCCCCAGATGGCCGAAGCTGACGAAAAGTTGATCCCACCGTGTCTCCCGCGAAGCGGTGCGAATCATCCCCCTGACCTCTGCCAGTGTGCGGTCTGGACAGAATTTCGCAGGCGATCCAGCCGAAGCCTCGCGAGAGTTCGAAAAAGCAGAAAACCGAACCAAAAACTCCGCTTTCGATGCTCGACGACGACGGCGCCGACAACTACGAGAACGCCAGCGGCGGCGGCGACAACGGCTGTGACGGCGACGGCGACGACGACGACGACAGCGGCGACGGCGACGACGGCGACGCCGGCGGCGATGACGACGACGACGACGACGACGGCATTGACGGCGGTGGCAGCGACGACGACGAAGACAACCGCGGCGACGGCGAGGGCGACGGCGGCTGTGACGATTGCGACGACGACGGCGACAGCGACGGCGACAGCGACGACGGCGACGCCGACGCCGACGACGACTGCGGCGACGGCGAGGGCAAGGACGACTGCGGCCGCGACGGCGACGACGGCGGCGACGGCGACGGCGAAGGGGGAGGGCGACTGCCTCGGCGAGGGCGCGGGCGACGGCGGTGACGGCGACGGCAGCGACGGCGAGGGCGAGGACTGCGGGCGTCCTCTGCTCGCTGGCAGCCGCTGGGGCCCTCAGGCGCCCCTGCTGCTGGGGGCGCTGGCGCTGCGGCTTGGGCTCCGACGGCTCCGCAGGCGAGGGCTCCGACTTCGTGACGGCCTGGGCTCGAGGGGGGGAGGAGGGGGGGAGGTACCTCGAAAATCTTGATTGAAAATCCCGGAACGCCTCCTCCCCTTCCCCTCCTCGTCCGTTGTCCTCCCTCACCCTCCTCCTCTCCTCCCCTCCTCCCCCTCCTCCTCCTCCTCCCCTCCTCCCTCTCCTCCTCCTCCTCCTCTCCTCCTCCTCCTCCTCCTCCTTCCGCATTTGTATTATTATTCCTCCTCCTCCTCCTCCTCCTCCGCCTCCTCCTCCCCTCCACCTCCGCCTCCGCATCCGCCTCCGCCTCCGCCTACTCCTCCGCCTCCTCCTCCTCCGCCTCCTCCTCCTCCGCCTCCGCCTCCGCTTCCGCCTCCTCCTCCGCCTCCTCCTCCTCCTCTTTCTCCTCTTTCTCCTCCTCCTCCTCCTCCTCCGTCTCCTCCTCCTTCTCCTCCTCCTCCTCCTCCTCATCATCATCATCATCATGGGCAACCACGTCCCTGGCAAGAAGAGTCAGCGTGCCGGCCTGAGACGGCTGAGACACCCGCGGGAGCGGGCAGGCACCCTGTCGGCGGTGAGGGACCCCGGTGACGCCTGCATCGCGGTGTGGACGCCTAAACTGGGAAGCGACGAGGCTGGTGGCCAGGAGACCCAGGCCCGGGCTGGCGCGAAGCACGGCCTGGTGGTGTCTTCCCTGGAAGTGCAGAAGGTGGCCAAGATGCAAGGCCTTGCTAGCCCAAATGCCGCCGTCCAATGGAAGCGGGAGCAGGCCGGAGACGGGCAGACCCGTTGATGGACACTCTGACGGAGGACGAGGGCCTCTAGCTGGGGCTGCTGGCCGCAACGGCCATGACGCCGTGACGCGCAGACTTTGTACCGTCCCGTTTTTTCGAAAGCGTCAGGCCGCAGCAGCTGGCGAGGATGTAGACATTTAGTTGCTAGACCTCCTCCTCCTACTCCTCCTCCTCCTGGATCCCAGCCCGCCAAACACCACCGCAAAGCTCCTCCTCTTCCTTCTCCCCTCCCTGTCCTCCCGACCCCCCTCCCCCCGAAAACATCCGAGGACCTCCCTCTCTCCTCCCCTCTTCCCCTCCTTCCCCCTCCCTCTGCACCCCTCCCCCTCCTCCTCCCCCTTTTCTCCTCCTCCTCGACCTCCTCCTCCTCCTCCTCCTCTCCCCCATCGGTTGGACGGCCCGCAGGTCCACGTTCGGCCCCTCCTCCAGCGGATCCGTCCACGCCTCGGGGACCGGGGGAAGGGGGCAAAGGCGCACGAGGGGAAGGGAAAGGAGGAGGGGACAGAAGGAGGAGAAGGAAGAGGAGGAGGAGAACAAGGACGAAGAGGACGAGGAGGAGGAGGAGGAGGAGGAGGAGGAGGAGGAGGAGGAAGAGGAGGGGGAAGAGGAGCCTCGAATATGAGAGGGAGGAGTGAAGAGGAGAGGCTCTGGAAGGAGGATTTAGGAGGATCGAGGACGAGGGTTGAGAATTAGGAAGGCTACTATTTCTGAGCCTCGGGAGCTGGAGGGCTCTGGGACCTGCTGGGACCTGGAGCCCCTGGAGACTTGGAGGCGCCCAGACTTCTGGCGGCTCGGGGCGACTCAGAAAGCTCACACCAAAGGTTTGTCGCCGTTCCTGGGCCATGGGGCTATCAAAAAATGGCTCCGGGTTAAAAATCTGGTCCCAGTGAGGGGGGTCGAGAGCATCAGGGGCCAGCGACTCGCAGAAGTCGAGAAGTCGGAGGTCTTGGGTCGGACGACCGATCCAACAGCTCCTGCGATCATTACCTCCTCCTCCTCCTCCTCCTCCTCCTCCTCCTCCTACTACTACTACTGTTGCTACTACTACTACTACTACTACTACTACTA